GCCGGGGTTTTCCTGAGAAGCCCCAGACCCCTGTGGGCAGGCCGGGGCGGACTGGGACTTGGTCTGTGGGAGGGGCTGGCTCTAGACCAAGGTCCCCAAGCCGGGCAGCCCTCCCAGGGGAGCGTGGAGCTGGTGTGGAGCAGGAGACAGCAGGCACGGGCTGAGCAGGGAGTGGGTCTGAGCCCTGGCCTCCCCTGTGTTCTTGGGGAGCAGGGCCGCAGTTTCTCCACCTGCATGGCATAGTACCCACCTCCGTCCACTGATCTGCACCCTTCTTCTTCCCAGGAGAACGTGGAGGGCCGGCAGGAGGTTGCTGCCCATCCTTCCGGTAAGACTTGGGCCCAGCCTGGGGCAGCAGGATGGCTTCCTCCTGGCCCAGGGGCCTGATGGGCCCTGACCTGGCTCACACCCTCCTGCCTGGGGAGGCCTAGAGCCCAGGGAGCTAGAGGCCTTGGCCTTGCTAGGAGCCTGTCCTGGCTGCACACCAACCCTCTGCTCAGAGCCGACCCGGCCGTGGGCCTCTGGGTATGTGGCTCTGGGAAGAGCTTCCTCCCAGCCAGGGGCCCACGGGGCCTGTTTGTGTTTCCTAGTGACCTCTGAGGTGGAGAACAAGGAGGAAAGGCTGGGGAGCTGGCTCCTGAGGAAGCTCTGGCTGGGCAGGTTCCCAGCCTCAGACACCCCGAAGACTCAGAGCCGAAAGTGACAAGTATACAATAAATTCGGGGTGCTGCTTCCATGGGTCAACTGCTCTTCGGGGCGCATGTCTGCCCACACCAGCCTGCTCTGGCCAGTTGAGTCCCCCCCGACAGCTGCAGTACCTCCATGTCCTGCCATCAAGCCCTCTTACCACGGTGGCTCCCCCGAATTGGCTGAAGGGGCCTTGGTCGGCCCTCCGACTCAGCCCCAGGGACAGACCTCGGTCTTCAAGAGCTGAGAGCCGGGGTCTCCCTGTCATGAGGTAGTGGAGGCTGTCAGGGCCACTGCAGGGACCCCTGGGGAGGTTCTGCTCTGCGTGTCTGTGTCTGTCCCAGTCAGGTCTCTGCATGCACTAGAGGGTCCCCCCAAGACTTGGGTAAACAGGTGTTCAGGAGAAACCCTGAGGCACAGTCTGGGTGCCCAGCTCAGGCCACTGATTGTGGGGTGGGGACACAGGAGGAGGACAGCAGTCCTGCCCTTAGTGGGAACTCAGGCCAGCAAGGGTCACTGCCCAGGGTTAGAGCAGGACACTCTGTAACCCACAGACCTCACTCCTGTCCTGTCACCCAGAGGATGGCATCTTTGCTAGGGGTCTGACAGCTCCTTCTGCAGGTCTGGCCCGGCCCTGATCATGCTCCTCAGGGCTGGGCCTTGGCAGCAGCTTTCCTGACGGGACAGGAAGATGGTCAGTTGTAGCCTGGGGTGCCTGAGAGGCCCCAAGTGCTGGTTCATCCTGAGCTCCCATTGGGTCATCGCAGGGGACATTCTAGCACCTGACAACTGGGTGGTGACCATCCATTCACTTCCCGGTATCCAATTTTACCACTGTGTTGGGGTGTCACGTGGAGTAACAGATGCCATGGTGCTGGCAGAGCAGCTGCCCTGGTGTGGCTGGGTGGGGTTGCAGTGTAAACGGGGTGTCTGGCCAAGTGTCTCCAGGACCGGGGTTCTTAAACTCTCTGAATGGCCTCCCTGACATAAGCTAAGTTGCTGACCAGGGTGAACAGGGGTCACAGCAGGACCTGGCCGCTGCATCTTCTGATCCCCATATCGCAATCTTCCACGGGGCAGCTGGCAAGAAAGAGGGTCCTGGCAGGAAGCTGGGATTGTCCTCAGCAGACAATGGGCCCAGGCACGACCCCGGGCTGTCTGGTGGGAGCTTCCACCCTGGTTTATTGTACATCAGGGATCCGGGTTTGGGGAGCGGGCTGGGGCCTGCACCCCCTCTAGCGCGGCACAGCACAGAGCTGGAAGGGGGCCGGGGTCACCAGGAAGGCGTACTGCCCGTGGTCGCTGGGCGGGGGCTGTCCCGGGGGCACTGAGAAGCTGAAGCGCTGCAGGAGGCAGGTGAAAAAGAGGAAGAGCTCCATGCGGGCCAGGGGCTCCCCGAGGCATGTGCGGCGGCCTGCAGGTGGGAAGGGGCTCCATGAGCCTGGGTGTGGGCTCCACCCTGCCGCGCCCCACATGGGCTGCGGAGCTGGCACCCCACGCACCTGCCGAGAATGGAATGAAGGCCTCTGGCTTCACGAAGCGGCCCTGGGCATCCAGGAAGTGTGCGGGGTGGAAGTGGAAGGGCTTCTCCCAGAGTTTCTCGTCCTTCAGCACCGACGACAGGTTGGTGAAGAGAGTCGTGCCCTGGGCAGGAGATGCCTGACCTGAGTGGGCTCTGGGCTGGGGGCACCAGGACCCCTGCCACCACGGGCTCACGGCCACACTCTGTATCCAGCCTACACCTGGACTCTGCAGGTACCCACTGCCCACACGGGTCCTGC